TGATGAAGATTTCACTTGCACAATTGTAGTATCCTGTTTTTGTGACATGGATACATACTGTTTGCGACCCCTGAGAAACGACTCTAACCAACTATAAGCTGATTCAGATACTCCAGTCTGGTTGAGCTTATTGAGCAAAGTCGAACGCTCTGCTGAGTTGGCAAAATATCCAAACAGGGCACTCGTCTGCCTCGAGAGCACAAGTTATTGCCTCAAAAAAGAGTGAGTTGCAGTTATTGTTAACTTTCCGCACTAAAAGCCATGCTGATTCTTGGAAAGAATACCTTTTCTGTCCAAGAATACTTCCAGCCTTTCCAGAAAGCAGTAATCGAAAATTATATAAGTATACTTAGCTGTGGTTGAAGCATCGCCTTTTTATATATATTGGGGTGACTTTACAAATTTTAGTGATGAGATAAATGGAATCTATATAAGAGCACGCTACAGTGTACTCTTCAAGACGACAGAAAGAATATGGTCGGGGCCACTTTTCAAAACTGTCTCCTGAAAACCAGACATTTATTATTTTCCACTTTCAATGTTCATTCTCCCATGAAAAGCACTTATCACTTCCATCCACTCATGTATCTTCCGGAATATCGCTAAATTTCCAAGCAAACACTAGAATCTAATTAAGGAGCGTCTTTCTTGTTTGTTTTAATCGCAACACAACTCCGAATTTCCATCAGATTATAATTTACCTCCCGCTTGAATACACGGATGTGTGCAGTGTTACAAGAAAAGCGCAACTGCGATGTTGCTACCGGATTGCCTGACACCTATTATACTTATACAGGGTGTTTCAAATTCGATCTCACTGGTGGTGCAAAATACGGCCCAGCAGACCCAGCGATCAGATATCAGGAGCGGTGACGCACGACCAAAAGTAAACAGTTTTTTCGGCAGATTTACCGATGTTAGTCATATTCAACCGAACTACCATTTTTGACGCGAAATCTAGAAAAATATGACTCAAATTTTCAACTAGTATATTTCTGATATAGCGCTGTGTTTTGGAAGCATCAAACTGCACCAGATTGTTGCGGTTCCAGCAGAGATCAGCTTGTCAATCTAAATTCCTGCATGTAAAGTGCTGTCATTAGCAAAGTTGTGGATTGGATTGACCGTACAGGAAAAAAGGTGGTGGATATGTAACAATTTCGGAGCCAAGTCCGATCTTTGGGGAGCGCCCGCTTTGACGTTGTAAAACGACGAGGAGAACCCGTCAATTACGATGGACATTTTGCGGCCAGAGAGCAAGTTAGCCGCCCATCTGCAAAGCTCCTTGGGGAGGACATAGAATGGAAGTTTGCCACAGCTGATCGAACGCTTTCGTGATATCAAGAGCAACACTGTGAGTCTGGATGCGTTTACTACACAATTGCGTGAAGTAAGCTAGGAGGTGTGAATCGCTGGTGCCGGAAACCATAGTGCCTGATTTTTAAGAAGCCCTGACGTTCGAGGTACTCCAGAAGCCCTTGATTTATGCACCTCTCCATCACCTTACTTATAACAGAAAGCAGAGCTATAGGCAAGTTGCAAGGGTCGATCTTAGATCTTTTTTTGGGATGGAATAGTCATGAGCAAATTTCCAGTTTTCAGGGAAAGTGTCGGAGTCGCAAGATATCTGAAAGAGGATCGAAAGAACTGGAGCAAGCTCCGCTGTACACCCCTTCGATACAACGGCAGGAATCAAGTCCGAACCAGAAGCTCGGTTGATGTCTAGCAACAAGGGCACCTGTCTTGCTGTCTTATACCTTGAATGTCACTTCCCGCATGGCGTAGGAAACGCTTTGAATCGACGTCACTCACGCGTTTGGGGGGACGTCCATAGTAGAGTTGGCAACAAAGATCTTGGCAAGCCCTTCCGCCTTAGCCTTTGAGTAGGTTGCAACTGTTCCAACCTGACACGTAAGTGGTGGAAGGCTACTCTGCGAGAAGTTTCTTTTAAACTGCTTGGTCAGCGTCCAGAAAGACCGACTGCCGTTGCTTTGCGTTGTTTTACTATCAGCAACAATATTAACATTTACAGAGGGACGAGGGGTGGAGTGGTGGAGCATAGGGATCAACAACTCGAAATCGGAGCTAAAAGCAAAACTCCAATACAGCGATCATAAGAAAAAGCAAAGCTGATGATGAAGGACGAGAGAAGAAACATCGGATTGAAATACCAATTCTATCACGTTCTTTAGGATTCTGAAATCCCATCTTAAATCGTCCGGATTTCGGGAAAACAACATTTTTCTGTCTATCTTTATCTTTATCCATTTAACCGACCGCCCTCCAAATTCCCAATGGTGAAGGTCGATTTTGAGACGCCCGGTATGCGCTGGATATGCTGAGAATTCCGTTCGGAAGGATTAAACTTGCTTGTAATGAAGCTTCTATTAAGAAAATATTAGACAGTACCCTTACCTTTGTTGTCTAGGCCAGACGAGTACACATTGCGCTTAATTTATATTCCAAGAGGCAGATGGGATTTAGGTGACACTATCACGTGTAGTTTCGTAGCTCTGGGCGAGAAAATCGATCTTTGTTTTACAAATAAACATTTCAGTATTCAGAAAGATGCATATTGAACTAACTTTTGAGGCATGGTGTGGTGCGATTAAGAAGTACCCTGAGTCAAAGAGCACACTGAACTTTTTTTTAATTCCAAAAACGAAAAGAAGACATACCATGGAGTGTTTTGTTCTGCTTTATTTATTGTCCATACTTCACTGCCATTGATGGCAATAGGTCTTATAATACGAGTAGCCTTATATAACCTCAGTTTAGCCTTTCTGGACACGATTTTACTTTACGGTAAGTAAACACACCGGTTACCCATCATCAGCCTATCCCGAATTTCTTCCTCAATATCTGGTCTTTTAAAGTTCCCAAATGCGTGTAGATTTCAACCTCTTCAAATAGGTGAGTTTTGGCACTGACTGCTTTCACTGTTGACCTCTTATTTTTAAGTTCTTCTCTGTCTATTTCATTTACTTAGTTTTTTCTTCATTAATACTCTATCTAATTAACAGTGCTTTGTCTTCCAGCTTTTTCCAGTTGTTCACCAAATCGTCAGCGATGCTAAGCATTGGTGTTTCTTATAATATAGTAGCCGTTCTCTATTTATTTTCTCATATCTTATAATCTTTTCAAGACATTAGTCTTAGAGATATGAGACATAGTAACCTTATAACGCCTTTGCACTTCAACAATGTTTTACTTTCAATGCCTTGAGAAGCAAAAGTGTTGTAATATTCAGGAAGCTGGTTAAAAATCAGCTGTTAGATCTGTTGTGACTTTTTTTTTCGTATTTTCATCCACTCATAATTAGTTCCCATTGGTAAACCATCATAGCGTGGATTTGTCAACTGAATATGTTTTTTTTCTCTTTTCCATTAGGTCACTCACTTGAACATCAAATCGATGTATTAATTATTAACACATTTTTTTTATTTTTATTTTTTTCTCATTTATTTTAGGAACACTCTTTTTTAACACGCTTTTATTTATTATAAGCTTGGCCTGTGTGTATACTAAGTGACATATAAATCCGAACACCCAGTTTAAATGGTTTTATTTTAATAAAATTTTGTATAAGTACTTAATGAAGCATAATAAGTAAATGATAAAAATTTCAAAATGATTGCACTGCTTTAAAGCCCTTTGACCTTTAATAATGTGTGGATGCACCCTGATCTGCATTCTCCAACTCGCCTAGGCATGCAATGTCCTCCTGTGGTATCTATTCATTTGCAATGGACCTGGTAGTGGAGAAACGGTCCCTTAAGGCCAATAATCTTAGGCGGCGATCTTCAAGGTCTGTTGTTCTACGGCGGCGTCCAGTGCCCCTTTCTCTTTGCGTACGGCCTTCTCGAAGCCACGCCTGACAACACCTAACCACAGTGTCTACACTTCTATGCACTCTAACTGCAATTGCCCGAAAAGAAAGTCCAGCTTCCCGAAGTCCAACTATACGGCCCCTATCAAACTCACTAAGTTGACGAAATCGTACAGGTCTCCGTACTCTAGGCATCGTAACCGATCGTAAAGGATGTCAAGAACCAAAATCCGCCAACGTTGATTCTTTACTGCGGCTGAAATATTCATTTTTAGAGCGTTAGTGAATTAAAAAAAAGCAGTATAAAAACCGGAATGTCCAACTGATAAGGCTGAACATTTTTTCACTTGTTATTTACAGTAAGATAAATACATTCACCAACTTTTATTAAAATAAAACCATTTAAACTGGGTGTTCGGATTTATATGTCACTTAGTATATATATATATGGATGTAACGGAATCTTTGAGCATGATCTTCACCAATCTCCAGAAGTTTGATTAAATTCAAACTTCGCACACGTATCAAGGACCGATCACAATCCAAGAATTTGATAACAGTTTTCCATTATCCTTAGGACCGCCAGGATTGATAAATTCCTTTATAGATCCTCTATAGAGGAATAAGAGAGACAGAACTAGCCCTTGATCTGCGTGTTTTTTTTTTTAGTTTTTTTAACTATTATTTGTTAGGTTGATATGTATCTTATTTTGTATTGTATGTACATATTTCCTCACACAATAGGGTTGGGTGTAAGAGTAGCCAACTGGCTAAACTTTGACTTAGTGTTATGATTTTAATATACAATAGTTTATTATTATTATTATCAGGTAACCAAATAAGTTCGTACGGTTGCTGCATATCGCACATTGCCATGGATGTTGTTGATCGATAGCAATTGTTTGTTGCAACTTTAGTATGAAACCTTCTTTCCTCAGACACATAAAAAGTTACTGAAAATTTTTACATACCTAGTTTTAATAATTGAAAATGGCGACGAATAAAACAGTAATTTAAAGTTGTTTACTGTATAAGTACACACTTGGTACAAAAGCTGCAGCGGCAGCGCGAAAAATATGTACCGCATTAAAAAATTATGCCATAAGTGATCGAACAGCGCAGAAGTGGTTCAAAAAATGTTCTTCGGGAGATCTCAGTTTGAGCGATGAACCGCGCGCAGGGAGAAAAATCATGAACAACGAGGATCTTCGACAGGTTGTGGATGCAAATTCCAAGACAACGTGTCAAGAACTTGCAGAAATGTTCAGAGTGAGTCCTGAAACTATTCATCTGCATCTTCATCAGCTAGGAAAGACGTCGAAGTTAAGCAAATGGGTCCCTCAGGAGCTGACAAATGATAACAAATTAAGTCGTCTTACTATCTGTTCAGCAAACATTTCACGCAACGCTAATGAACCGTTTCTTGATCGGTTATTAACCTGCGACGAAAAATGGATCTTGTATACTAATTTTAAGCGTTTGAATCATTGGTTGTCGCCTACTGATTCGGTACCACACACGACCAAGGCTTCCTTGCACCCAAACAAGGTTTTGTTGTGTGTTTGGTGGACAGCAACTGGAATTGTTCATTATGAGTTTTTTTTTTTGGAAAGAGGTCAAACTATTTAACACGTTCGCTGCTCACGCCGACAACGTGGCGGCATAAGAATATGTATGCGAGTGCTCACGCCGCAACCTTGTCGGCGTAGTCCCTGTTGTAGTTAAATATAGTTATAAGCGAAGCGCGCCTCAGTGTGCCTTTTACTTTAGTAGGAGCATGTTGCTTAGTGTTCTAACCTTAAAAATTCACACGTGGTTCGGAATTTAGTACATTAATTTTGCAATGGCGGACAATCCCATTCCGGGACCTTCAGTATCGAAAAGATTAAGGTTTAGGGATCCTTGAAATCTAAACGATGAAGAACTACGTCAATTGGCATATCTTTCTGAGGATTCCTTAGACGACGAACCATTTGAAGACTCCGGAAGTGAATGGAGTGGTGCAGAAGATATAATCGAAGAGGCAGTAAACTCCTTGGAAAGCGACTCCGGGCATTCAAATGATGAGGCGGAAGTCCCTTCATTGAGCGAAATGTGGACAGAGGGCCCTCCGCAATTAAAAAAAATTATGTTTACTGGGCAGCAACGATTGAATGTACCAGTACCTGATAGAAGGACGCCCATCGATTTTTTTTTCCTCCTCGTGGACGATAATTTTTTTGAACTACTGGTCCGAGAAACTAACAGTTACGCAGAAATTGTGTTGCTGAATGAACGTCAAGGGCCCCATTCCAGGATTAGCCGTTGGAAACCAGTCAATAAAGAAGAAATGTCAATATTTTTAGGAATGACATTTTATATGGGTATACTCCAACTACCAAGATTTAGGGACTATTGGCGTACCGACCGTTTATACAACTTTAGGATCAGGAAGTTCATGAGCAGAGACAGATTTTTTTTTTTTTTATACTCCAACTACCACGAAGGCCTGAGGCCTAAGCACCCATTGGGTACCGTGGGGCTATGGGGGATACATGGGAAAGGGGGGACGCCACACGGACTCTGGCGAGGGAACACGTGTGCATGCAACATGCACACATTCTGGCTCCGCCTACGAGAACCGCCGGGTGGTACCTCCGCGTTCGACAGTCAGAGACCATCTACCACCTACGGACAACCACAACATCCATGGCCAAGAGAAACATTTCTCCTGGAGACGGGAATCGAACCCGCACAGATATCTAATTATATTGCGATGTCTTCATTTTGCCGAGAACCCTCGAGCTGGGGGAGCAGCTCCAAGTGATAGATTATACAAGGTTCGCCCTTTGCTGGATTTCTTCAACAAGAAAATGTCGATAATTTATTCGCCAGGAAAAAACCTGTCCATCGACGAATCCATGCTTCTTTGGCGCGGGCGGCTTCTGTTTCGTCAATATATAAAAAACAAAAAGCACAAGTATGGTATAAAGTTTTACCTACTTACCGAATGTGACGGAACTATTTTAAAAATACAGATTTATTGTGGTGTTTTTGATGATTTAGGTGGTAAAGGACACGCTGCAAATGTTGTTCTCAATCTGTTGGATAATTACTATAATAATGGATATAGTGTGTACATGGATAATTTCTATAACTCTGTATCGCTTTCACGTCAGTTACTGGAAAATAAGATCTTTTGTACGGGATCGTTGCGCGCTGGAAGAAAGGATACCCCCAAGGAAGTAAGTACATCAAAACTGAAAACAGGTGAATCTATCTATCGTTATGGGGCAAATGTGTGTGTGGGTAAGTGGAAAGACAAAAGGGAGGTGCTATATATCACAACAGAACATGAAAACACATTTGAAGAAGTGACTTCTAGATCTGGTAATAAAAAAAGTAAACCAACTCCTGTAGTGCAATATAACAAATATATGTCTGGCATAGACCTCCAAGACCAGATGCAGTCGTATTATCCCTCACAGAGAAAGACAATTAGATGGTACAAAAAAGTGGGTCTACATATTTGCGAGATGATGCTCCATAATTCTTACATGCTTTACAACAAATATTCTGGGCAGAAGATGTCATTGTTAGATTATAGAGAGTCAGTCATATAAGCACTGCTTCCAGATATTCCAGATAGCGCAATTCAGAACCAGACCAGTGGGAAGGAACCATCAACTCAACATCTTCTCCATCAAAATGTGAAGCAAGGAGTGAAAATAATAGAAGACAGCGGAAGAGGTGTCGCTGCTGTTCAAAACGTGGTGTTCGCAAAGATGCCATGTACTTTTGTAAATCGTGTCCAGATTTACCAGGACTATGTCTAGAACCTTGTTTCAAGGAATTCCACGAAAATCTAAAATAAAATGATATATAGGTTTGTTTTATTTTGTTTTAATTTGCTGTTTATAATTTATGTTATATAAAGAATATATTTTTTATTATTTGAATGTTAAGTTCAGGGAAGTATGATTTTGTTTTTTAATTATAGTCATTTATTATTTGCTTTTATATTTTGTGCAAAATATATAGTAAATAAAGATGTTTGAAGGATAGTTATTATTGACGACACATGTGCGTCATTGAGCACCTAGCAAGAATAAATAGTGAGCAGTGCTCATGCCGCCACCTGTGCGTCGTGTCTTTTTTTCTGTAAATTTAAAGAAAAAAGTATTTTTAATTGTAGTATCAACTAATTTATGCTTAAAAAATGACAAATAAAAGCATTTGACAATGCCGCACCAGTGACATCTATATAATTGTTGGTGAGCAGCCAACGTGTTAAGACAAAAAATAGACAAGAAATAGTCTTGATAGGCGACCTGAACGGAAGAGTGGGCAAAGCTCTTGACAGTAAAATAATTGGACAACACGGAGAGGAAGTAGTCAATGAAAACGGAACCAGATGGATAGAGCTTTGTGAACAACACTCGTTAAGAATCTTAAACGGATTTTTCCAACACAAAGACATACACAAATATACTTGGACTCAAAAAACAAAAAACTTGAAATCAATTATTGACTATGTCGTGATTAAGCAGGACACTTCCATAATACCCTATGATGTAAAAGTTTGGAGAGGAGCTGAGTGCGGTTCAGATCACCTGCTAGTAAAAGCACCCATTGAAATTACTTACAATAAACATCTCATATATCAAGAACAAAATAACAATGGAAAACCCACAAAGCGATATAACATAGACAGCTTAAGGGATGAATCCACCAGTTTCCTTTACAAACTACGTTTAGCACAAAAACTGGACGAAGATATTAACGGCAAGGCAGAAGAAATGTATGAAACTTTGAAACACAAAATTCACGAAGCAGCACTAGAAGCCCTTGGTGTTAAAGATAGAACGGAACACAAAAATTCTTGGTGGACGGACGATTTAACCCAACTGGTAGAAGAAAAGAAAAACTTATATCTTAAATGGTTAACTACAAAAGACGATGAAGATCGAAAAAGCTATAATCGTTTTAAATATATAGTAAAAAAAGAAATTAAAAAAATAAAAAACAAAACATGGGAAACCAAATGTGCTGAAATTAGCTCAATGGTAGGAGGATCTAGGTCTAGAGAAGCTTGGCGAACTATAAATGGTCTTAAAACAAACACGAATGAAAGAAGAAAAATAAATCCCATAAAAATAGAACAGTGGAAAGACTACTACAATAATCTACTGGCAGAACAACGTGGAGAGTATTTAGACACGCAACTAGATATAAATCAAACGGGAGTTAACCGAGTAGATTCCATTCAATTAGAAGAAATAAAAACAGCATTACAAAAAATGAAAAATAATAAAGCTCCGGGACCGGGGGATTTGCCTATCGAGTTAATTAAACACGCCACCACAAGAAAGCACGAGCTACTTTGTGTAATTTTTAACAAGTGCCTGGAAGGGGAAACGATTCCCAGAGATTGGAGGAGCTCTTACATAAATTCCATTTATAAAAAGGGAAACAGGAGTGACTGTAGTAATTATCGGGGTATTAGTATTACATCGTCCATCGGAAAGCTGTACGAAAGAGTCCTAACAGCCCGAATAGAAGACGAAGCCACGGAAATTGAAGAACAAAGTGGCTTTCGACCTGGGCGATCCTGTGTCGACAACATAACATATTTACAATAAAACAACTGACAGAAAAGAGATTAGCAAGAGGAATGGAGCTACACGCTACTTTTATAGATCTCCGCAAGGCATTCGACTCCGTCCCTTTGCAGAAATTATGGATCGCAATGAAAGAAGCAGGCATAAATAGCAAATGCATAAACGCCGTAAAAGCAATGTATAGAGAAAATCAAGTGGTCGTTAAAGTCGGAAATCAAATTTCTGAGGCTTTCCCACAAACAAAAGGTGTTAAGCAGGGCTCCTGCCTCTCTCCAACCCTGTTTAAAATTTATCTCTGCAGCGCTTTAAAACAGTGGATAAGAAAGTGCAGCCCCATGGGGATATGGTTAGAGGACTTTCACTTGTATACAATCCTCTTTGCAGATGATCAGGTAGTCTTTGCAGAAGACCAGCAAGACATGACTTACACGATAAACAAACTTATAGAAGAATTCACTAAATGGGGTTTGGAGATAAATATACAAAAGACACAATACATGACTATAGGAGGCACAGGACAAGACATCGAAACAAAAAGCGGAAAAATAGAAAACGTCGGACAGTACCAGTACCTAGGAGTTACAATAGATGAAAGCGGAAAGGATAATAAAGACATACTAAGGAAAATAGGAAAAGGAAAAAATATGATTAAAGCACTACATCCGATCTTGTGGAGTAAGAACCTAACAAACAAAACAAAAAAAATTATATATCAGGCTAGGATTCAGCCAGTACTGACGTATGGGTCAGAAGCGTGGGTTGTAGATAAAAATATGTCACAAAAGCTTCTCTCAACCGAAATGATGTACTGGAGAAGATGTTCCGGTTTAACTTTACTTGACCATGTTAGAAATGAGACCATCAGAGAAAGAATGGAAGTCGAAAATACAATAATGGACGATATAACAGAGATGCAGTTAAAATGGTATGGATACCTGCAACGAATGAACGAAAAAAGGATACCATTAAGGGTTTGGAAATGGACACCAGCACAAAGAAATAAACGAGGAAGACCACGAAGGAAATGGATTTCAAACATCCATACCGCAATGGAAAGTAGAGGACTACATGAAGGAGACTGGAACGATAGGATACGATGGCGTATGGGTTGCGAGAAGCGACCTTAGGTTGCAGAAACTCGCCATATATATATATATATATATATATATAGGTCAAACT